GCCAGGGCTACACAGAGAAACCCTGTCTCAAACTCCCTCCCCCTCTAAAGACTTAGATTGATGTGGTTTTTTTTTTGCTTTTGTTTTTTCTTTTTAAAGCATGTGATGGTTAGTGTCATTAACTTGAGAAAAGTATAGAGTCACCTGAGAGATGGGCCTCTGAGCATGCCTGGCAGGGACTGTCACTCTGTGGGGCGACCCTTCGCTATGCGTAGTACCATCCCTAACTGAATCCTGGACTTAGGGAGATGAGCACAGGCAGGCAGGCCCTCACTGATTTTTCCTGACTGCAGGAAAAATGTCACGTGATCAGCTGCTTTCAGCTGCTGCCCCCTTGAACTGTGAGCTACAATAAATCCTTTCTTCCTCAAGTTGCTTTGGCCAGAATATTTTACCACAGCAATGGTAAAAGAAACAGCTGGGTGAGGCATGGGGGCACAAACTTTAATCTCAGCACTCTGAAGGCAGAGGCAGGCAGATCTGTGAATGCAAGGCCGGCCTGCCTGGTCAGTGCAGTAAGTTCCAGGTCACCCAAAACTACACAGGAAGACTATGTAAATAGTAATAATAAAAGGATACACAGAGAAAGCATATGTCTTCGGAATCAGTACATCCCAAGTCAAGTTGGATAAAATGAAGCCAGAGGTCAGAGGTTCTGAACCTTTATCCTGTATATTTAGTATATGGTGTCACTTTAAGTTGGCTGTGGCACTGGCGAGAAGAGGTTATTAGAGCATTATTTATAAATATACAAGAACATAAATCACAATTTTCAGGGACCAGCAAGATGGCTCTGCAGGTAAAGGAAGTTACTGCCAAGCACCACCCCCCCAGCACTCACATATGCCACATGGACCCACAAAATAAGTAATTTTAAAAAATTAACAACACAATAAAGTCTTTTACAAAAATTTGCATTTGAGGGTGGGCAAGAGGACTCAGGGGTAAAGGTGCTTGCTGCCAAGTGTAGTGGGTAACCATTCCAGCTTTGGTCTGGAAGTTCCAACCCCCATTGAGGCTTCGGTAATTATCATGCCTACAAGGCGGGGCCAAGGGAGGGCCCTGAAGACCCGAGATCAGGATGCACCGTGCTCTCTTCCTGCTTGGACCCTGGACGCTAGAGGTAGACCAAGGAGAGTTCGCCAGAGAACACCGCCGGACTGCGCTGCGTCTTTCCCAGAACCTGCCACCTACCTATCCCTTTATTTGTAAGTTACGGCATTAAATAAATCTCCCTTTTAACTACGTGGAGTGGCCTTAATAATTTCACCAATAGCCAAGCTTGATGACCTGAGTTCAATCCTCGGGACCCACAAGACGGAAGGAAAGAACAAACTCTCACAAGTCACCCTAGGGCATGAGATGATTGAACTGGATTCCCAGGACACCTAGTATCTTCTTGACTTTGAATGCCAACTCAGCTGAGACTGATCTGGGATCTGGTAGAACCAGGAGACATGGACTACTTCCCCTTGGTTCACTGCGTGCCACTGTCCGGGACATTCTGTGTCATCCTGGACATCCCCGTGTCCCCTTGTTCTCTGAGTTGCCCTCTGGGTTCTCCTCTCCAATGTGCAGCTGTCTAGAATTATTTTTTACTGCCAGGTTTCCTATCATGGTCACTCCGCAGTTTACTGTTCATGTGTGTGTGTGTGTGTGTGTGTGTGTGTGTGTGTGTACACATACACTGACACTGGCTTTCTGGAGGCAATGCTCCTAATCCAAAAGAGATTTTAATATGGCGCCTTTTGTATGAAAGAGGAAGAGTTGTCTTGACAGACTTATGGAGGCCAATTTCTATGGAACTATGGGCTTACTTCTAGATGATTCTACTCTATCGATACCCATCATTAGGAAATATGACATTTGGTCTGTGGCCTTACACAAACAAGACTAATGCCATCACCAACACTACCACTAATACTGAATTTTTTTTCTAATATCAACCATTTCTGAACAGACTCTTACATAAATCGGGTGTATTCTCTGTACCCATGGGAGAGGATGGGTAAATGCTTACTTCAATGACTGGATGGAAGTTTAAGTAACAAAACAAGGGACTTAGAGCCAATTAGATGAAACGGGAGTTGAGAGGAACTAGTTGTGCCTGGTTCTCACACAGCTCGTGCTATGGGGGAGTGGGGAGGAAAGGATAGAAGGAGTCTGACTTCAAAGCTCCTTAACCTTGGACGTTTCAACCAGGAAGGTTGGGATATGATGTTTCTGAGCCAATTCACCCTGCCCCCAGCCCCCAAGGCCTTTTGGTTCCAAATACACTAGGAATCAGTGTTAATTGCTTTTTTGAAATATTGTTTTGTCGGCTTCATTTGGATGTGGTAATTTGCAAAGCAATCTCCAGCAGTTGACAGTTCATCCATAGCTGTGTGGCATCCAGACATTTCCTGGGACTTCTGCCCACCTCCTATGCAGCTGGCAGTGTCTGCCAGACCAGGATATGTGCTCAGCTGGGATTAACTTGGAACCAAGTAGCGCTTTGTTGTGTCTAAGATTTGTTTAAATTCTGCAAGGGTGAAGGGCAGTCCTACTTAATCCAAATAATAAAAGTGAAATTTAAAAATTAGGACTGAGGATATAGCTTAGTTGGGTAAAGTGCTTGTTGCTCAAGCATGAGGAACTGAATTCGATCTCCAGTGGCCATGTACAAGAGTCTGGAGTGGTTGTGTGCTCTTTTAATCCCAGCGCTGGAGTGGTGGGAACAGGTAGGTCCCTATGGGTTGCTGGCCAGCTAGCCTAACCTCCTTGGTGAGCTCCAGGTCAGCGAGAGATCCTGTCTCAAAAAGATAAAGTGAACGACTTGTGAGGTTGACCTCTGGCTTTCATAGACACGTGCACATTTGTGCGCGCCCACTCCCTACAAATTAAGAATCAGTAGATGCTCGAAGATCACCTTAGTCCACAAAAGGTTGATAGGAATTGCAGCTCTGACAGGTTCAAGGACAGGGTCAGTAAGTAGGCTGGTGGCCGAGAGCCCAGGTCAGGAATCTCTATTCTTTGCGTGGTGCCCTCTAGATTTATGCCTGTGGGGCTGTGAGTTTCAGTTCCTGGTTGTTTCTTTCTGAAGCTCTTTCCTTTTGGCTGGAGACTTTCTCAGCCTCCTTCACACATGCTTCAAGGTCACAGCCTAGACCAAAATGTTTACAGAAAAAGCTAGGCACTTATAAAGGGGACTCTGTGCCAGCTCCTACACTCCCAGTGCCTGGCTCCAAACACACTCGGCAAACCAAGGAAGGGATAAAGTGGTCTCTGGAACCAGGAATGTCTAGGTTGGAATGCCAATGGGGAAGCAGAGGCATTCTGCCCGAGTTCCCCAGCAGCTGACACTGCCACCTCCTGGGAGAAGACAGACCTAAATGGCACACCTGAAGCCCAAGTCTAGGTTCACCAGTGACTTGGCCAAAGGTCCTGCTGGGTGGGCAAAGGGCTGAAATATTTTTGACTTAAGAAACAAACAAATAACCCAAAACTAATTACCCACTTACTCAACAACAAGAAAATCACATCCGTCTTTTTCGCATTTCTTTTGTTCTTTTTTTGACAGCATTTTGCTTAAAGAAATGATTTCAGGGCTAGGGAACGCAGCTGTGGTAGAAAGAGCTTGTCTTGTATGCCTGAGGCCTAGAATTCTACCCTCTGCTCTGGAAAAAAAATAAAGATTTCATAACTGTTAGGTTTTTTGTTTGTTTGTTTATTGGGAGGGGTGTTCAAGATAGGGTTTCTCTGTGTAACAGCTATGGCTGTCCTGGAACTCACTTTGTAGACCAGGCTGGCCTTGAACACCTGCCTCTGCCTCAGGAGTGCTGGGATTAAAGGCATGTGCCACCATAGCCTGGAATCATAATTGTTAGTTTTAGGAATATATCAAAGACTCTTCTACCTAGCTCTCTGAATCCTGAGTGCTGGAGTGATGGTGGGAATGCACACCCACGGGATTTTTACAATAGACAGGGTACATACAAGTTTGGTGATTCTTGATGTCCAAGCATCTCAGTGTACTTGCTGGGCTGTTCTGAGAGTTGAGATAGCAATGGAAGCTCCTGGTAGTCAAGAAATGTTCAGTGGGGTGAGTTCACGCTTCCAGTCTCTCTGGGGACTCTCTTAACATCTTAGTTTCTTTCCCTGTTGTTGTGATAAAACAAACAAACAAACAAAACCAACCAAGCAACAACAACAAAGCCCAAAACCCTAACAAAAGCAACTCAAGGGGGAAAGGGCTTATTTCAGCTCACAGTGCAAGGGTACAGTCCATCCTGGCAGAGAAATTGAGGCAGCTAGACACACTAGACCCAGAGTCAGAAAGCAAAGGAAGATGAACATTAGTGCCCAGCTCACTTCATCCAATTCAGAACCTACCCAGGTTATGGTCTCCCTTACAGTTGAAAAGGGTCTTCTGCAGCTGGAGAGCTAGCTCATTGGATAAGAACACTTGTTACTCTTGCAGAGAATCCAGGTTCAGTTCCCAGAATCTATACAGTGGCTCATAATCATCTGTAATTCCTGTTCCTGAGGACCCAAACTCTTGTCTCCATAGGCTTATGACCATCTTATAAAGCAAAGTGCATGCATCTCAACATCAAAAGTCCCCATAGCCCAGTGGTTCTCAACCTCCCTAATGCTGTGACCCTTTAATACAGCTCCTCATGTTGTGGTGACCCCCAACCACAAAATTATCTTCATTGCTACTTCATAATTGTAATTTTGCAACTGTTATGATTCATAATGAAAATAACTTATATGTAGGATATCTGGTATGTGACCCTGTGACCCTAAAGGGGTCGTGACTCCCAGGTTGAGAACCACTGCCATAGCCAATAACAGTTACAAAGTCTGCTGGGCGGTGGTGGCGCACGCCTTTAATCCCAGCACTCGGGAGGCAGAGGCAGGCGGATCTCTGTGAGTTCGAGGCCAGCCTGGGCTACCAAGTGAGTCCCAGGAAAGGCGCAAAGCTACACAGAGAAACCCTGTCTCGAAAAACAAAAAACAAACAAAAAAAAAAAAAAAAAAAAAAACAGTTACAAAGTCTCTTAACTGTGATGTGAGTTCCTATAAAATAAAAAACAAGTTACATGTTTTCAGCATAAAATGGCATATAGTAAACATTTCCATTCCAAAAAAGAAGAATAGGGGCATAGGAATGATTGGAACAAAGTGAGACCAAAATCCAGTAGGGCAAACCCCAAATCCCACAGCTTTGTATAGCATCAGAGGCTTGTAATATAATCAGCTGGGCTCCAAATGGCTTGGCTGGCCCAGCTCCAGCTCTGCTGCCTGTAACACACATAGCCTCTCTTCACTCACGCTGTCAGTTCTCCTTGGAGGACAGCCCATGGTCCTAGCATCTCTGATGCCCCATGGTCACCACAGCCCCATGGGTGTCACCTTTACAGCTTCATGCACCGGCCTCTCAGGGCCTCCTTGTAGGGACTCTGACTCTGCGACACATTTCCTGGCCTCAGTGGTTCTTTGATACCACAGATCAGGACTCCATGACTGTGTCTAAGTTTTCATTTTTAATGACTTCAAAATCAGTGCCATGGTAGCATGGATGATGTTGCCAAATTCTGTTGCCAGCTCCTGATGCAGCCGGGCCCCCTTGTACCACAGCCATAGCAACGTCCGTATGCATTCTAGGCTGACGTTGGTGAAACCCTCATGGTATGGAGCCTCTGGTGGGTGGGATCTTGCTCTCGGAGTACTTTTCCCATTCTCCCAGTGCAGTACAGGAGGCTTCTCTTCCGCAGTGCTGCTCTACTTAATAATTACCGTTGTTCCCTCATCACTGGCCTGAATTCTTTCCTCACCTAAAGTTTCCTCTGCTAAACAAATTAGTCCATTAGCTTTAAAGTCAACTTCATTCAAGTTCTCAGGATATGGGCAAAATGAAGCCAGATTTTTAGCCAAAATATCACATGAATGGTCCTTAGCCCAGTTCCTGGTGGAATCTGGCCTCCACTGTCTGCATTCTTTCAGTGCTCTTGTATTTTTAAGCCCCTATCAGAACAACCCATTAAGCTCTGTTTCCAGCCTTCCAGGGCTTTTCTAGTCCCAAGTGCCAAACTCTTCCACATTCCTCCCATAAACCAATTCCAAAGGCCTAAGAGCCGTGAGGTCAGGTTGGTACCGATTTTCTGTCTGAGTTTCTTTTCCTGTAGCTGTGATAAAATACCTGACAAAAGCAACTCAGGGGGGGAAGGGCTTATTCTAGCTCACAGATCATAGGTACATAAGACAGCATGATCTTGAGGTAGCCGGTCACATTACATCTACAGTCAGAAAGCAGAGAACTAGGAATGCCAGCACTCCGCCTGCTTTATTCATTGTATACGGTTTAGAATCCCCCACCTAGGGAACAGTCTGCCACATCAATCAGCCTAATCAGAATAATTTCTCACAGACATTCTCAGAAGCTCACCTTAACCTAGGTTATAGCTCACAAGTGCACCTGGAGGCTTGTCTCCTAGGTGACTCTGGATCCTCCCAAGCTGACAACACTAAGCCATCACACTGACCGAAATCTGAGCTGACAACCCTATTCCTTTTAATTCTGTCCAGTTTTGAATTTCATGGAAACATAATTATATATTGTCAAGAAGAAATTCAGAAGGAACCAAGAGACATGTTTACTGAGTACCTAGCATATGCCTATCATATATAAAACATTTCTCATGAAATGCATAGGAAAAATCAGGGGTGGGGTTCTAGATGCACATCTGCAAATAGCTCAGTTGTATAAATGTTTTAGGTGCCATTGGGCATTAGTGTTCTCATCTGTTGAATACTACTGTAAAAGGACATTTTTCATGTATATCAGAGCTTGCTTAGAAGACAGCAAATTGAATAATTTGTCATGTTTCACCTGTTCTAATCATCAAAATCTGTTAGAGACCATGAACTCTGAGTGGCCCTGGTGAGCTAAAGCAAGAACCTACCTCATGGGCCTTTATGTCAAGATTGTTTTCCTTAACTGATGAATTATTGTGTTGTGGGATATTTGTACACTGTGTGAAGATGTGCCACTGTGATTGGTTTAATAAAGAGCTGAATGGCCAATAGCTAGGCAGGAAGAGGTTAGGCGGGACTTCTGGGGACAGAGAAGATGCCAGGAAAAAGAAAGATGACCAGCCAGACACAGAGAGGAAATAGAAGGTGCAAGATGAAAGAGAGGTAATGCCATGTGATAGAACATAGATTAATATAAATGGGATAATTTAAGTTATGAGAGCTAGTTGAGACAAGCCTAAGCTAAAGGCCAAGCTTTCATAATTAATAAGACGTCTCTGTGTCATTATTTGGGAGCTGGCAGTACAGAGAAAGACTTGCTACATTCTTGGACTTACTTTAATCAACTATGTAGAGCACTGAGTATATTCTAGTCTATTTCAAGTACGTTTTAATCCTTTGCTATGGTTTGAATGTTATATCCCTTCCAACATTCATGTTGAAACTTAACCCCCAATTAAGAGATGGGGCTTTTAGGAGATCAATAAGCGTAGAGGGCTTCACTTTCAAAAATGGGATTAGTACTCTCATAAAAAGGTTGTAGGGAACTAGCTAGGCTCCTTTTTTTCTCCTCTTCCACTATGTTCTGATATAACACTTCTTCCCTCCAGAAGACATAAGCCATCTCAGAAGCAGAAAGACAGGCTTTCAGTAGACACTGAACCTGTAGGCCTCTTGATCTTGAACTGTCAGCCTCTGAAACTGGGAGAAATAAATTTCTTGATAAATTACCCTGTCTCAAGTATTTTGTCACAGCAGTGTATAACTTACCAAGAATAACTACAAAACCCCTTCCTTAACAACAAGGAAATGCCTTTTGCCTTCAGCTAACTGGTATGTTCCTTTGCAGGAAAGCAGACTCGGCTGTGTTTGTTTTCCTTTGCCTCTCTTATGGTCGTTATTACTATTACTTGGCAACATTTGATATTTGAAAATACTTCATAGTTTATTAAAATCATTCCCAATTATCAACTCATTTGGGAAGAATTGTGATATGATCAAACAGGATGGATAGGCTTTTTAAAAAAAAAAAGGGTCTTCATGTATCACCGAACAGCGGAACCTCCTTGAATAAAGCATCGTATCAGTCAGTGCTTTGCCTGGACTTTTTGTTTGTTTGCTTTTTGTTTTTTGAGCCAGGGTTTTTCTATATAACAGCTCTGGCTGTCCTGGAACACACAGAGATCAACCTGCCTCTGCCTCCCAAGTTCTGGGATTAAAGGAATGTGCCACCAGTGCCTGGCTTAAGCCTGCCTTTTATTTATAGTGGTTGGCTCCTCCTCATTATACAGACATTAACTCAAATATTATCTTCTTAGGGAACCTGGCTGATCTAAGAACAACTCTGGATTAGTCTCTTTTTAGCATTTAGCACAGACTAAAGTGATCTAGATGACTTATATGTGTTGGCCAAACAGAGAATGTTAGCTTCATGAAGTGGGGCCTGGTCTGGCTCCTCTGTTCACCATTGTCTCCCTAGCATCTGGGACAGCCTGGGGCATCATAGCTTCCCTCAATAAGTCTTTCTTGCAGGGAGAGAGAGAGAGAGAGAGAGAGAGAGAGAGAGAGAGAGAGAGAGAGAGAGAGAGAGAGAGAGAGAGAGAAAGAGAGAGAGAGAGCCGCTAGCAAGTGAGACTTATTTGAGAAACATACCACAGGGCCCTCTGGGGGATAAGAAGAATGGGTAACTAATGCTGTGTGTTATCATAGCACTGCTGATCTCTGAAAACCGATGATCCTCATGCTCCATGATGGCACAATAGGCCTCATCTGTGAAGGACAATGGTACAGGTTGACTGCTGGCTGCTGTCAATTCCCAGGCCTTCCATGTGCATCTCTACAAACAACCCCACCACCTAAGTCATGGCCCAAAGGCAGAAGAAAGTAAAGATGGACCCCTAGAAGTTTAGCTGTTAGTAATCTTCTGCAGAGTCTGCAATTTCTTGAGTTTCCAACTTTATTTTAACATTTCTATGAATTTGGGGCTGAGTATCAATACATCTGTTTGTATTTCTATTAACATAAGGATACTTTACATTTTTCATCATTTGTGAAATTTGTGTTATAGGAAAGCCATGCTCTCCTAGTTCTTTATACTGTGCTTGGCCATCATACCTAAGGGACATATATTTACAGTGTTTTGATACTCTTTTTCCTCTGCAGTACATTTGCCTCTAATTGAAACTCTCTTTTAGCACTATTTATTCATTCTTCAATAAGCACTTACTGAGCATCTCCTATGTATACACGGAGACTGCAATATATAGCTGCCACTGTGAACTGAATATGCATGGCTCCTACCATAATGGGAGTTACCTTTTACAGGACAGAGAAATACAAAAGAAACAGAAACATATTGTGATGATTTTTAAGCTAAGGAGGAGGAACTCAGGGAAATGTAGAAAATGTCAAGTAATTCCCCCCACCCCCCAGACAGGGTTTCTCTGTGTAGCTTTAGAGCCTGTCCTGGAACTCACTCTGTAGACTAGGCTGACCTTAAACTCCCAGAGATCTGCCTGCCTTTGCCTCCCGAGTGCTGGGATTAAAGGCGCACGCCACCATCACTTGGCTAAGTAATCTTAAAATAGATGATGAGGAAAGATTTTTCCAAGATAAAATAATCTGAAGAACAGAGTTAGCCAGGTAAAATATGGGGTGCAGAGATATTTCGGGCCAGGAACAGACTACACCTTGGAGATAGAGAGGATGCACACCACATAAGTAGGGATTTGGAATGCTTGTCTAGTGAGGCCAGAATAGAGTGCTGAGGAGGACTTGGGGGATAAAGGAAAGCAGAAAAAGGAGAGAGCCCTAGCACATGCTGGAGGGATAATGAAGGGCCCCTTGTTAAGCCATTTCTAGTAGACGGGTATAGAAAGTCATAGAAGAGCGGAGCATGGTAATCCCTGTACTCAAGAGAAGGAGAGGCAAGAGGTCCTCTGCAGATTGGAAGCCAGTCAGATCAGGTCTTGGTAGGTAGATTGTGTCGTGAAAACAACAACAATCACAACAACTTCCCCTCCCTACCAAAAAAACAGTTACAGGCAAGTTTAACACTTAAAAAAAAAAAAAAAGAAAGAAAGAAAGTTTAACACTTAAGAAGAATTCGTTTTTTGTTTTTCAAGACAAGGTTTTTTGTGTAGTTTTTGGTGCTTGTTCTGGATCTTGCTTTGTATACCAGGCTGGCCTCAGATTCACAGAGATCCACCACCCAGCAAGAAGATTGGTTTTTAAACCTGGGGTGGGGGTGGAGGAAGCCCACTGGGCCACAAAGCTACATGAAGAGCTATAGGCAGCTGAGGAAAGCTGGAAGCTGGAGAGGTGGCCCTCCCTAGGGAAGAGCACACCAATTGGTTGTCCAGTGTGAAATGGTCAGCCCTGAAAACATACATATAGGAATATTATATGGACGCAACAGGTTATACTTGGGAATAAATATTTATATACGAGTACATATATGCATGTAATAACAATTAATAAAAAGAAAGAGGCCATGAATTTGAAGGAGAGCAGGGGAGGGTATATGGGAGGCTAGAAGGGAAAAGGGAAAGGGGAAATGTTGTAATTAAATTACAATCTCAAAAAGAAGACTTGGTTGATACCCGTTTTTCACAAAGTTTGGTCAGGAACTATACAATTCTATGCCTGGAAAAATAAAAAAGGACTTCTTAAGATTGATGTAAGAAGAAGCATTAGCAAATTGTGGGTCCTCAAACTAAGTGGAGTGAACCCCCATCTCATCTCCCTTTCAGAGACAACCTTTTCCCCCATGCTAATCTCCCTGTAGCTAACTTCCTCAATCTCAGGTGGTTTTCTAACTCAAGTTTCTGGTTTAGAGCGTTTGCTCCAGATTCCACCCTTTCCCAGCAGACTCACACACTTAAAGCACACAGAACCTTAAAGACGGTTCTACTTGAGGCCTAGCTGACGTTTCAGATGGTTTCCTATTAGAGGCCAATACAAAAATCCCCCCAGTGGAAATGAATCTAACAAAGAACTGGAGAGAGCTGATGGGCAGGTTAATGATCATAACCACAGAGAGTATAACTGTTGGTTCATCCGATCATTTATTGAGATGTTCTTTGCTTGAGGTTTTACATCCTCTGCTTGACATAATGATACTATCCAAGCTTTCAGGAGACCAACCTCTTAGGCAAGGAGTGACACAATTTTTGATAATGTCAATGGTTAAGCAAAGAAATAAATATTTATGACCCTGAGAAATAGGTACTAGATGGGAGCATTATCTAACTTTGCCACATATGTAGACTAGGTGTTCCTTTTATGATAAGAAGCTGCCCTTCTGGTTTTCTGAACAGCAGTGTGTGTGTTGCGGGGAGGTCAGGGCGCCAGGGTACTCACTATTCCTTCTGAAGAGGATACGGTCTTTTCTCAAGCATTTTTCTCTTTCCAAACGTTTGGGCTAGATCTATGTTAAAATCAAAAGCAAGCAGATTTACCAACTGAAACGCACAGCTTCCCAACTCTAAGGACATTTTCCCTGGTATGTGGGTTACTGCCATTTCTGGAAAAAAAACGATGCCACAAGAATATTATTAGGAGAGGGCTCACAAGAAATGTTTACGGTGAGGGACATTAGAGATTGAACACACTAGCTTTTCCTTTTCTTGCCTCCACCTGACCCTGGAACACGGTGACAAGGACATTTTAACCTCAGGACAAGCCCAGAGACAAAGGCCATACATTATTATTGCACTTAATTCTCCTCACCGCTCCTTCCTAAAAGGATGCATGAACAGGCTAGGGCAGTGGTTTCCAAAGTCGGAAAAGGTTTTCCCTTTCCAAAGCGGATGTCATTTTCCCTTCCTGTTCTATAACCAGGATTTTTTTTTTTTTTTTTAATTTTCCAATATGTTCTTGGCTTTGTCTTTACCTGCGCTTGTAAGAAAAGTCCTCTTCCAGCCTCACAGGAAAGCCTTCTCGGGAGGGTCAGCTAGGAAAGGACAGCGTGGGAAACCGGAGGAAGCGGCCGCCAACCTGCCAGGCCCCGCCCAGCGCGGTTGGGTTCGTGGTGCGGCCCCTTTAAGAGCAGGCCCCGTCCCCGCCCTCCTCCTGGCGGGGCCGGCGGTCGGCGGCGGCCGCTACGGTGCTGACAAGATGGCGGCTGGCGGGGCTGTTGCTGCGGCGCCCGAGTGCCGGCTTCTGCCCTACGCGCTGCACAAGTGGAGCTCCTTCTCCTCCACCTACCTTCCCGAGTAAGTGCGGGGCCCCGCGCTCGAGCTGTCGGCGCGGCCCGGTGGGAGCGCGGTCAGGCCGAGCGTGCCGTGGAGGGGAGCGGAGCCGAGAGGCCCAGGCGGGGCCTGTGAGGGGAACGCGCGGCCTCGGGAGCCGAGCGGCCCGGTGCGGCGGCCGAGAGCTCCGGCCTGGCGGGCCGAGGCCAGGGTGAGGGCCCGGGAGCGAGCTCGGGGCGGCGGCGAGGCGGGCCTGCGCCGCGGGAGTTGAGGTGGAGCGTGGGGCTCGGGGTCCGGCCGCGGGCGAGCCGCCCCCGCCGTCGGAGGTGGCCAGGGCGTCGGGGGCCGGGTCCTTCCAGCGCGGCTCGGCCGTGCAGCCCCGGAGTTCCGGAGCCCGCATCAGAAGTGCCTAGCGCGGCACCGGTGGCGTGAGAAGTTCCGGAGTCCATCTGCATCCTGGCAGGAACTTGGAGGACTGGCAAAGGGGTGTCCTTGCTTTGGGGGCTGGAAGTTCTGAAAAAGATAGGGAAGGAGGGCAGGTCTGGAGGAGTGCTTGCTCGTCCTAGGGAACCACCATCTCAGCAGAAATGGCTTTAGGAACAAAACAAGGAACTGATGGATTGCTATGTGGCTGTACGAATAAAATGACTACGTCTCGGGAGTGTCCTGAACAATGGTTCTTTTTTCCATTTGTATTTTTGAAATTCCTCACATTGGTCCAGATTTAATTTCTCAAGTCAGGCAGGGACTCTCCAAGTGAAGCTGCCTGTAAAAGACTCTCCCGTGACTGCCAGCCTGCCCTCCTATTCACCAGGTCAAGGGTTGGCACTGAGACATTGTAGCTGTGGCCCGGTGAAGGCTGACCTGTGGCCTCATCTGGCCGGTTGTGGCCTGGTGATGGCTGGTACATGGCCACATCCCCGATTGATGTTGGAACCCAGCTTTTAATTTGAGGGTGAGCTAGATAAACACTAACCTTGAGTTGAAGTTGACATGTGGCTGTAGGTGCCTGAACCCCTGTTTTTGTTTGCTTTTTGTTTTGGCCAACTCTTCTTTGACTCCGAAGCTGTTTAACATTTTTCTGTGTCTAGGTTAGAGTTGGTGGTGTTTCCCCACCTCCAATGACTTTTTTCTTTCTCTGATCTTGACTTACTGATTAGGTTGTCTTGCCATTCCTTTAAACTTGTTGTGTAAGGCACGAGATTTGGATACTCCAAGTCCCATTAGAATTACCTGTTGAATGGGCACGTTAAGGAAGAAAGCATTTCTACACAGAGTTGATCTGGTGAGATAGTGGCTTTAATCAGACTCGATTTGGAGTGGACAGAACCTGCTGTTGCAGTTAAAATGGAACTGGGAGAAAATCCATTGCTATAGGTTTCTTAAGGCCATTGAGGAAATAGTATGTAATATACATATATAACTTGTACTCTCATTTAGTGTATCTTGTTTAATCCCAATGGCAATTTAGAAATACAGAATAGTTTTTATTTTAAAGCACTGTAGAATTCAGTAATCTGAAAGTTTTCCTTTGTAGGAGACAGTTGAGTGTTAGGGGGCTTGAGTTTGAGACTTTTGTCAGGCAAGTTGGTGTGTGTCTGCCTTAATTGTAAAATTCTTGGTTCTGAATTTATGCTAACAAGTATGGCTGTTATAACTTTGTATGATAGGAAGTTTAAGAATTTTTTCTTTTTTATCTAAATCACCTCTAATGGGGTAAGATAGTAAAAGGCACTATGTAATGTCTTAAGCAGGTGTGATTTTTTTTTTATGTTTAGCCAGCCATTTGTTGAAATTGTTTACAAAACAGCAAATATTTATTGACAGAAATCTAGGCATTTTGGGGTGGTGGTAGTAATTACAAAAAATGGTGAGTACTTATACCTTTCATTTGCCAATCTTTATTATGAATACTTCAAGTGTTTTAGCTCATTTAATTCTTAACAGTCTTTTAAATAACCTCAAAAAGCTGGGCCTGGTAGGAGATGCCTGTAAATGCAAGCTCTTAGGAAGCAGAAGCAGGAGAATTAGAAGTTTACAGTCATCCTCAGCTACAGAGAAAAGTTAAAGTTAGCTTGGGCTATATGAGACCTGTGTTGTCCCTCTCTGCTCCCCCATATCTCCATTTTCCAGATGTGGAAACAGGTATGGAGAGGTCATCCACCTAGGTGAGGCCAGAATTTGAATCCAGAGACTCTGACTCCAGTCTGTTATCCTAACCAGTGTGTTTTCGTTACCGCTTCCATACAGGTGTTTGTGTGAGCAATCATAGCTGGGAAAGAGTTCTTCTATTAAGGGCGTTTGTGTTTTAGTTGTTTAAAGACATGCAAAAGGCTAGAGAGACCACTCAGTCAGAGCGTTTTCTGTGCAAACTTGAGGACCTGAGTTCAAATCCTAGCATAGACAGGTTTGTGTGGCGAACCTATAACCCTATTGCTTTTGGTGGGCTAGAGACTGGAAGATCTCTGGGGCTAACTGGGTACCAACCTACTTCTAGGTTTGGTGAGAGACCCTGACTTTTTAAAGGAACAAGGTGGAGAGTGATAGAGTAGGATACCATATGTACTCCCGGTCTCTGTGGCACACACACACTTCTCTGTACACATAGGTGCACATATACCACATATGCCTAGAACTGCCCCACCCCACCCCACCCCACCCCACCCCATGAAGTCATGAAAAGAATTCCAATTGCAGAGTTGTTTCTAGAAAACCATTTCTAAATGTTAAAATAAGTCTAGTTAAAGATAACACCTTTAAACTAACATTGGCCTTTTGTTTTTCAGTGTGCTTAAATTAATTTATCTGTATTTTACTTTTTTTTCTGAAATTTATACCTAATTTGGGAATTAAGGGAGGTATGTGTAAGTGATCATTGATAGAACTGAACATGCTAACATGTAAAAACATTTTATAATGATCCCTACTCTTAGGTGTTTATTGTTGTAGGTTGTGATGATGTTGGCTATAGTTATTCACTGTCCCCGAGATGCTTTTTTCATATAGTTTTGTTTAATTTCAGGCTCAAACCTGCAATGAGTTTCCTATGTTCTGCAGATGAGGAAGCTGAGATCAATATATAAGATACTTGTCCACACCATACAGCTTTCCAGAGGCTTGGAAAGCTCTTACTTAAACCCACTATACACTGACTACCAATAACAAGCAGTTACTGAGTGTCTTCCGTTCTCTATCAAGCAGTTAGATGTATTCCTAGACTTAGTCTTTGACCAAGCACCAAGGTGAATGTGATTCATATTTGACAACTAGGGAGCCTGAGATTTAGAGGTTACCTTGCTCAGGTCAGAGGAGGACTCTGATCCTGGGCTCTCTGACTTCCCTAACAAGCTCCTTTAGCTGCTTCAGTATGCAATGTGACTGTGCTGTGCCTGCAGATAGATTGACTCTAAAGTCAGAACAGTGAGTGGGTATTTTATGTTGGTAGTTATGGTTTTGCTGTGAAACCTGAGTCTTTAAAACTGGCTTTACATTTTTGATAATTCCATTGATTGGAAATGATTCTTAAATTTATTTTATTATTGAATAAATAATTTTAATAGTAACATTTGATTAGCATAGGTGAATTTATTTCAGCTCAACTAATTAAAAAATTTCACATTTGAAAATAAGTAGGTGTTTTGTTCTTGTTGCAAAAATGCCCAAAGTTTGTAGTTAGAATATTTTCTAAATATCCACAGAAACAAAAGTAAATTACCCTAATCCCTCCATGCAAAGATTACTACCCATCCTTTAGATATGAGACTTCAGATCTTTCATTTCTGCTTATCTTTTCAGCCTACTATTTAATGCCCACTTTTGCTCTTTAGTATACTTAAGTATGGTTGAGTATTTCTAATTTGAAAACCCATTAGCTCTGAAATCTGAAACTTTGGAGCACTTACATTTTGGATTTTAGAGCATATGGATTTGGGGACATTTGGATTTTTGATTTCTGTGTTAGAGATTCTTAGTCATTAAAGTCCAAAAATCTAAAAATCTCCAAAATCAGAGATACTCTGTCCCAGTCATTTTGGGTAAGGGATGCTCAGTCTATATAATATATATAATAGATATTTTCTTATGAGATTGAATATTTTTTTCCACTTGCATGAATACATTTATCTTCTAGGCAATGATTTTTATTTAATTGGTTTTCTATTATTGGGCATTTGAACTTTTTAGTTTTGTTCCAATTTTTGCTTTGTGTTCTTTGGTCACTATGAATAGTGAGATTGTTTGCCTGATAATTTTTTTAAAAGACAGATCCGTATGTAGCCCAGCCAGTCTTCCACTTGCTTTCTAGCTGAGTTTGTCTCCTAGCCCAGCCAACCTTGAAATTGCTGTGAAGCTGTTTGTCTTTGAACCTCTTGATTCTCCTGCCTCCTCCTCCCAGTTGCTGGGGTCACACGATGCACCACCACACTGGCACTGATGAGGCAAAAAGGAAGCTCCTTAGTTCTGAGTCCCTAGGTGTTGAATGGCTGGGTTCAAGGTACTTTAAGCAAGACTGTTTGCTCACCTCTGTAGACTGTTGAGTTCTGGGTACCTGGGCTAATTTATTAACATTCTTGGTAATTTAGAATCACCTTTTTTACTTGTTTTTATTTTGTTTTGAGGCAGGGTCTCACTGTGTAGCTTTGGCTGTTCTGGAACTCACTATGTAGACCAGGTTAGCCTCCAGCCCACAGAGATCTTCCTGCCTCTGCCTTGCAAGTGTTGATACTAAAGATGCGCCTCATCATGCCCAGCTTCATTTGTTTTCTGAAACAAGATCTCACTCTATTGCCCCAGCTGGCCTAGAATTTACTGTGTCATCCAGGCTGACCTTCAACTTGAGCCAACTTTCTTGCCTTAGCCTTTAGCTTGAACA